TGGAGGTAAGCTACAGTTGTAGCCACAGCTGTCCTGGGGCAGACTGACAGAAGGACAGAAGCGAGGCTGCCATATCGTGCCATCGGCCCTTCTGGCCAACACCAGTAGGCAGTAGGGTAAAGTGTCTTGCCCAAGGACACAACGACCAGGACAGAGAGCCCGGGGATCGAACCGGTGACCTTCTGGTTACAGATACGCCACGGTCGCCCCAAAAGGTCTCCCCGTCTAATAGAAATTGTTGGTCACTGTGTGTGAAATCCTGAGGACTGTGACTCAGATAGAGCACAGGAGAGCTCCATTATTACAGATAATTCCACCTGAAATCAGTACCTGCATGGTACTGATAATACCTAGACAATACATACACACAGAGGATAACCGGCAACTTGTGGGAGGACAGCTGAAACTAATCACAGACTAACAAGACAGGGGAAGCAGAACTGAACCCAAAACACATGAGACAAAAAACTATCAATATATGACAGGAAATGACTGACACTGAAACCACACACACACACACACACACACACACACACACACGTTACACACGTTACACACTGAAGGACGACAGGGTTCATTCAGGTGCACATGAAGGTTTATTGCGCTGAAACACAGCAAAACAATTCAGTGTTACTGGCGGCTTCCATTGTAATAACTGGCCTGTGTGACTTTTGTAGCATTACGTGTAATGGCCCTGTATTAATCAGAAAATGACCAGTAAACAATAGACAACATAACATGTACTGGCTGGTCTATTTCCTATAACTTTAACTGAAACCAGCTAACAGTTTCCTTTCACAGTACTGATGGAACAACACGGTTACAGAGATTAATGCAGGAGGCTAACATGACTTAGCTAGCGCACAAACGTTACTAGCATTACCCACAGATAACGTGAAAAAACTCCCTTATTCGCTCACATTAAACACCATATAAACAAGAATTACACTCCAAACATGTTAATTAAGCATCAACTTTACATAAATGTATGTAATGCTCGTATATTGCTCTCACCTGAAACACAGCAAAACAATTCAGTGTTACTGGTGGCTTCCATTGTAATAACTGGCCTGCGTTACTTTTGTGTAGGATTATTCTGCCAGTTACCCGTTTGGCTGAGCCGCCACTGCCACCTACTGGCGAAACTAAATATCGCCCTAACATAACATCAGGTGGGAGCAAATGAGCTTTTCACTCTCTGTTATGATGCAAACTATTGTCACTATGGGCACGAACACATAAGAAACACATCTGAGACTTGTTCTTAATGCTCAAAATACTCCCCCCCCACACACACACACACACAAGCTTGACACAGGCAGAAGACCAGGAAAGTGAACTTAGCCTGATAGCCAGAAGGCTAAATAACAATACAGAACCAAAATATAAAATGATTAAAACATACAGCCTACAAAAAGGGCAGCAATGTGAACGAAGGTCCTGACTTTAATTCCATCACCTGGCTGGGGCCTTTCTGTGTTCAGTGCTCAACTGACTTTGATCAGTGGCTGTTGATCAATGGTCATGACAATTTGCATAATAATGATCAAAAACCTCACAGCCCATTGTTCTCAGTAGTGCTAGTTTTGGTCATTTTGCCGGCGTACTATTTATAAAGCTGGGGAAACCTACTGTCAGCTGAGACTTAAGAAGTCACTTGGATGGGAAACGTTTTTCCCACTAAAAACGCTACGTCCAGATGAACAAAATCAATTTTCTGGGGATCCCAATCTTATATATTTTTCTTTAAATACAAGACAAAGTGATGCATTTCCTTGAAAACTGTTTTCAAAAACATGAACCACACAGGCTAAAGCTACCCAGTCATATGCAAGTGTTAAGGCCAATGTGCTACCCACCTGCCACTGGGACAAAACTTTCAATACAAGATCAGTAAATTTAGGTCTGGGTAATGTGCAATATCACAAACTATGGTACCTTTTGGAACACCTTTTGGATACAGCTAAGACTCAAGTAGCTTAGATTCATAGAGTACAGAGGAAGTCTGATGAAAATAGTGCTACGGGTTCAAATATTGAGGGTGAGCACAAAAAACAACAATTGGTCCAGGAGAGTCGGTCAAACAATGATTTTAATGAACACACACGTGGGGAGATGAACACTGCACACAGACAGCATCGATCTCCGCCCAATAATACACAAGCAGTGTTTTTTATAACATCAGGGTATTATTTATGACGCCCCCTCATGTGTCAAAGCAGATACAATACATGCATAAGTTTCAAAACCACAAATGTTCTGTTGACGACTTTTGACACATTTAATAGGGCATCTTCTTCGTCTCGAGGCCAGGTGCTTCCTATTAATCTTCTAACTCTGCTTATCCCCTAGAACAAATTGTCTCTTATGCAAACATAATCTTACAGTTACAAGGTTTTGCAAACTATTATTTGAACTCTTACCTAAACATGAGTCTAACTACTGTTTGTGTGTGTGTGTGTGTGTGTGTGTGTGTGTGTGTGTGTGTGTGTGTGTGTGTGTGTCTCGACCTCAAAATGCACTTGGCCTCACCTCGCCCGTTGACGCTTCTGACCTTTTCCCAGACAGAAGCTCTCTGTAATATGTGTAATCATCTGAACTAAGAACATGTGTAATCTATTGAATAAATGCTTTGATGAAATGATAATTAATGTGATGGTAATGATAATGGTTATGGATAGTAGCAGTAAAATATTTCCCTGATCTCCACAATAGCTATTGAATAACAAGAATAACCATAATCTCAAATAAAAACATCCTGCATGAAAATCAACCCTCTTTGTTGTCCCTTTATAGATGCACAAAACACACACAACAAGAGCCAACATAAAAAAAATAAAAAAACATGACGTGCATAGGGCAGGGGTGTGTGTGCCTGTGACACACACGCAGACCCGATACAAAGAATATCTTATGTTTGATTTTCAACATGCTATTATTAAGATATAAATGGGTTTTCCCACAATAAGAGAGGGTGCGGCAAAGTCATCAAAAAGCAGAACTGTGCTGTTTGGGAAACAGTCCTGTGTTTCCTATTGTTTAACCTATTACACTAAATACTGTCAAAAATGTTAAGCTTTTATTAGAGTCACAGTTTCATCTGTACTTGGTGATGTGTCAAAGTAACACATTATTAGCAGACTGAACAAATTGCAAAATATACTTTTCAATTTATGAAAAATAAAACAAATGTTTGAGCTAAAATATACTTAACTAGAGCAATCAAGTAAAAGCGCAGTTCCTTCACTGTACAAATGTTAATGTGATACTCAAGGTAAGACTGCTGCCACACCTGCTCCTGCAGCAGTTTAAAGCATCTGTCGATTAACTTCCCTGAACACACCGGTTACCTGGTTTATCAACATTGCAGATTAGCAGGAACAACAAAAGTACAAGTGAGCCAAACTTTTGCAATAAAAAAGTGTGGGTATATCAGTCCTTCATTTTTTTAAGGCGGCCAGCCTTTAAATATAAGGTTTGGCTGTTTGTATCTCAGTCACAGATTTGCATTGATTATGGCTTTAACTACATGTAGACAGAAAAGCTTCAATGGTTAGTGCTTCTTATAGCCAAAACTTTGTTTGCTGTGCTAAGCCTTTAGAAAAGAGCAATGGGGAATAAATGCATCATTTAAAAGATAGATGCAGCAATATCTCCCTAAACTGACAGTGTTTCCAAACTCTAGCTTAAATTGTCAAAAGGTTTTGAGGGGTAATTCATGTAGTGTGAGGTAGGAAATATCTCACCATGACTATTCATTCCATGCTCTCTGCCAGCTTTTATCAACAGGTATTCATGGACTCATCTTAATTTAGCGAATAAAGAAAAGCTAAAGATGTATGTTTAGCAAAAATAGAAAAGGGTCAGTGACGCATCATAGTTTTTCATTTATAATTTGTATAAAAAGCGGTTGCATACCCTTTTTTGTTTAAATGTGCAATTGAACAAGGGTGTGGTAACGTGCACTAGCAGAATGATTTGACAAAAGAGGAGATGAGCGTCTGATGTTCATGCTGTAAAAATATAAACACACCCAATCCTAAGCTCACCTGTTCAGTATATAAAGTGTAGGAGTGCTCCTGAGATTTAGTATCACAGTCCAGGGAAACTAATCTGCAAAACTGAAATGTTCATCACAATGAAGTTGACTACTCTGATTCTCCTCTGGGCACACTCCAGCACAGGTAACTGGACTTTTCTTATTATTTAGGATCTATCAGTAGGAAAATCGATTAATGCATGTGATGACCCACCCCCCAAAAAACAAAAAAAACAAAAAACAACAACAACAACAAAAAAACAATAAAACTACAAAAAGATACACACACGCAAAAAAAACCAGGAGCCTCACAGAAAGAAATGCCATGATTTTCGGAAATCGTATTTCCTTCTTTTAGTTTGCAACTTCTGTTGCTGATTCTGTTTGCAAAACTGATGTGAAAATCGTTTAGTTTGGCCAAATTATTTCACTGAGCGGATTAGGTCTACTTCATGTTAGAAATGAGGAAGAGCAATTAACAAATCTACAGAAAGTGAATTTGAAATGAGCATGCTAATGGATATTAAGATTCATCATTCAATAGAAACTCATATTCACTGTGTGGTGTCATGTGAATGTTGTAACCTGTTATCTTGTAAATTGTTTGGGTGTGCTTTGAAAAAACAGACTTAACCCAGAGATAGCTTGGTGTTAAAGTTTAACCTTAATGTTCCATAAGAGCTGATCTAATCTTGTGGTCAGATTCTTTTCTCGCACTAGGTGGTGTTACACCACTATCCATTTTTTTATTTATACAGAGATACAGAGATTAACAGCATTTCATCAATCGTTGTAACAGTGTAAAAAAATAGAAGAGATGAAGACTTTAATAATGCCAGTATACTGGGGTATTCAAAAACCTGTAATGTTTCATTTTAACTTCAGTCCTTTCAATGTTTCTCTCCTTATTGCAGCTGGAGCCCTTCAGTGTCAAACATGCACAGATCAGACGTGTTCAAGCACAGTACCGATTACATGTTCTTCAGGGAAGATGTGTGTTACAGCTACTATTTTAGGTAATCTTCTCTTCATATTATGTGATACACTTCAGTAAATTGCAAATACTGTGAGGTTATATGTACTTTTCATCAACATTAATGAACCACACTGTGAATTTGCAGCTACCTCATCTGGAAATACAACAACAGAAATCTACAAGGCATGTGCATCTTCCTCCCTGTGTCCAGCTACGGGCTCTCAGACATTTTCAGTCGACCTGGGTGTTCAAAGTGCTCTTGCATCTGCCACGTGCTGCAACACAGATAACTGCAACTCACAAACTCTGGCTGGTAAGCACAAATCAATGTGTTTTATTAAAGACACAATAACAGAAAGAGATAAGAAACAATATTCTGATATCTGCTGAAATGTTCTCTGTTGTGAATTGAAATTATGTTCTTTTCTGTTTCAGCTCCTACTCCTCAGTCAAGTAACGGCCAGCTATGTAACATTTGTTCCAACCCTTTGTGCAACACTCCAATACAATGTCAAGGAGTGGAGGACCAATGCTTTCAATCAATCAGTGAGTCTTCTTGATGTATACTTTAACAAAGATCAGCTTTAAATTCTTTTTTCTGCCTAGAATAACATTAACAAAGTTTGTTTTTTTTGTTTGTTTTTTTTAACCAGTCACTGGAAACATTATCAAGCATTTTATCAATATTTGTAATAGATGTTATTTTGTACTTTGAATCATTAAAGATGACAATTAAGATGTGCTCATTAATCAGCTTTTGAAAGATTACAGATTTGTCCACAACGCATAAATATATTAGTTAACAAATATTCCCCAAACTGTTTTTAAAAATATTTCAATATTTGAAGCATGGAGGTATTGATTAATTTGCCACTTTTTGTCGTGACCAATCATTTGTTTAAAACAACCGCTGAAGACAAACAGACAAATGTCCATCAAAACTACAGCAAAGTAAAGAAAATACACATGAAAATATCAAGAGTAGCACTTTCATTTCTTGGAAAAATCAGTTACCTACTTTAAATGAAAACGCAGTTTACATGATGATAGAACACCCAGTGTACACTGTTCCAAAAAATAGTAATGTCAAAGTATCTTACTGTATAGTTTACAGTTTTGTACTGTATTTCTAGAATATCATTAAATTTACATAAGTAGACAGTGATTTTACATGTCAAAGGTAAAATAACTTTTAAAAAATGTAGAGGTAGGAATTGCAATTAATATAAATCTCAAAGTATTCACAACATTCCTGAACAGAAATAGGCCTCTGCACCTGGGGTGAGGGTGTGGCCATGAAAACAATGTGACATGCCATTGGACGTTGGGACACATAATAACATGACGCTAAGCATCGGCCAATGAATGTGAACTAACAACCACAAGGTTGCGGGTATGGCAGCATTGTAGGAAAAAATCCTAATATAAAAGTATTTTACTGTGTATTTTACAGTAATGTTCTGTTCTTCTAGAATATCATTAAAGTCACGTAAATAGACTGTGATTTCACATTTCAAATGTAAATTAACGTTAAATCACTGTAATGTAATACAACATAATTGTCATGATTATTAAATGTATCTGTCTGTACATATGCATATTTAGATTGTTAAAATACATTTGTGAATGTATCACGATTTCACAAATATCTGTCCGTTATTTGAAAGACTGAACAGTTGAATTCAAATGTAATGCTATGGAAAAGTATATAACATGATTCCTATAAGCTTGAGTTACATCACAGTATTATTATCATTGCTATTTAGGGCGATCGTGGCTCAAGAGTTGGCAGTTTGCCTTGTGATTAGAAAGTTGCCAGTTCGCGCCCCGGCTCGAACACTCTCAGTATTGTGTCCGTGGTCAAGACTCTTCACCTACTGGTGCTGGCCAGAGGGGCCGATGGTGCGATATGGCAGCCTTGCCTCTGTCCTAGGGCATGCAATCAATTATTATTTAAACCAACTGTTAACTGTATATTTCTGTACATATACGTATTATGATTCATATTGCCACATTCATTGACCTTGTTTATAGGTAATTTCATTGTTTGATCACGTTAAAATGTTCCTAATTTAATGTCTAAACGCACTTGGAAAAGGCAGAACCCCATGTAAGATTAGCACAACAAACTCTATTTTCATTACTGAAATTAACTGTATTTTCATGAGAAAGTTATTTTCTGTTATTTTACGGTAGTATTTTGGCGCCCCAGCTGCCGGAATATTACCGTTTTTTTTAAGATGGTTTTTTTAACAGTGTAGGAACACTGTTCGTTCATAGGAAATCACTTTGGCTTCTGACATTGTGAGTACATGTTTTCAATAGCATTATTGTGAAAGTCACCAAAACAATGAGGGAAAATCAGGCTCTGTTCTTCTCTTCAATTGAAAAATGTTTACCGGTGGATGTGGTATTATGACATCAGAAATGCTGAACAAACAACTACACCCTTTAGTGGTGTTCTCAGGTTTTAGAGTACACCCAAAAGTCTCTGCAGTGAGATTTGAAGTTTCAGACTGTCAGCAAACAGAGCACATTAAAAGATGTTAAATTACTCTTTATGTGAAAGATATTTATGTTTGAAATATAGAATCAGGAAAAAAAAATCTGCTGAATTAGTTCTTTAGTAAATCACAGTTAATGATGCCACAAATGTTTCCAGCTTATGGCCTTGCATCTATAAATCTAAATGTTTCTTCATTATTTAACATTAAAGGTGTTCTCAGAAAATGCTACCCACTGGAGTATGGAATGCCAGGACTCCATGGAGTACTATGGAGTACATTAGATCAGCTTCTCTGACCATTTACAAACCAATAACAATGGTCAATGCTCACAACTCTACAGATGATCTACAGTGTAGCTTAATGATTTTCTTTTGACTGAGAAATAGATTATAAGCTCTAAATAAAAAAAGTAATACAATATATTTGATAATAAATTACTGTGACAGGTGTGTTAGGGCATAAAAAAGAAAAACATTTTCAATTATAATGCTCTGAGTACTTTTTTTGATGGTCACTGGCTACTACACAGTCATGTTTGTCTTATGATATGTTTTATGGTTACAGTTCGCATGTGAAAATGAAAGATTCTGAACCTCAAATTACCCTGATGCATCAATAGTGTTACACGCAACAGTTAGAGCACGAAAAAGGCCAACTATAAAACTGCTGTATGAATGTGTGTGTGAACTGGTAAAAGAGTTGTAGTCAATATTGCCTCGAGGGCTTTGTTAAAGCAGAGAACAGCAATAAATTTATCAGTTCTTTTACCATTTGACATCTCTTTTAACTTGCCCAGTGGCACTGAACCACATAATATAATAAATTAAACTGAATCTCAGCAAATTGATTTTTAAGATCGCAAAAGGTTGATTCTGTTCATCAGGACATAACATTTTCAGTGGAAGAAACATTTTGTCAGTCATCCTTAATGATCAAGGAACTGACCTCACAGCCCATTGTTCATTCAGTAGGCTAGTTACTGTCATTGTGCAAATGTACTGTTTATAAGGTTGGGGAAACCTGCAGTCAGCTGGGACTGAAGAAGTAACTTGGATCAGTGACAAAACATTTCCCCCACTCCCACTTACTTACTTGAATGATTGAACATGCATCAAGTGATTTTTAAGATGTTCTGAGTAATGCTTTAAATATGAAGCTATATCATAACATCATAACATAAAAATAACTGAAATTGTTCAAACTCTGATTTTTGATCTGCAGTGAACGACGGTGTCAACACTTTCCCAGCTCACGGCTGTGCGTCTACAAGCCTGTGTGCAGCTGCCTCAAGCCTGGGTTCCCTACCTTTCATGCAGAATGTCAGTACCATAATAAGTGGACCAGTCTGTACTTTGCCCACAACAACTGCAGCACCAACCACAAAAACAGCTGCTCCAACCACAACCACAGCTACACCAACCACGACAACAGGTGCTCCACATGGTGGTGATATACATGCCCTAAAAATTATAACATTTTAAATATAGATTCATAGTCTGTTATATGCGTGACAGTTTTTAGAGTAGGCCTCCATGGTTTAATTATCCTTAATACATTAACCTTAAATTAACTCTAATTTAGTGTTTCCTATCCATTTTTTATTTATTTATACAGAGATACAGAGATTAACAGCATTTCATCAATCTTTGTAACAGTGTAAAAAAATAGAAGAGATGAAGACTTTAATAATGCCAGTATACTGGGGTATTCAAAAACCTGTAATGTTTCATTTTAACTTCAGTCCTTTCAATGTTTCGCTCCTGATTGCAGCTGGAGCCCTTCAGTGTCAAACATGCACAGATCAGACGTGTTCAAGCACAGTACCGATTACATGTTCTTCAGGGAAGATGTGTGTTACAGCTACTATTTTAGGTAATCTTCTCTTCATATTATGTGATACACTTCAGTAAATTGCAAATACTGTGAGGTTATATGTACTTTTCATCAACATTAATGAACCACACTGTGAATTTGCAGCTACCTCATCTGGAAATACAACAACAGAAATCTACAAGGCATGTGCATCTTCCTCCCTGTGTCCAGCTACGGGCTCTCAGACATTTTCAGTCGACCTGGGTGTTCAAAGTGCTCTTGCATCTGCCACGTGCTGCAACACAGATAACTGCAACTCACAAACTCTGGCTGGTAAGCACAAATCAATGTGTTTTATTAAAGACACAATAACAGAAAGAGATAAGAAACAATATTCTGATATCTGCTGAAATGTTCTCTGTTGTGAATTGAAATTATGTTCTTTTCTGTTTCAGCTCCTACTCCTCAGTCAAGTAACGGCCAGCTATGTAACATTTGTTCCAACCCTTTGTGCAACACTCCAATACAATGTCAAGGAGTGGAGGACCAATGCTTTCAATCAACGAGTGAGTCTTCATCATTTTATTTCAAAAAAGATAATCTTAAAATTATTTTTTCTGCCTAAAATAACTTCAGCGAACATTCTTTTTATAAAAGGAATGTTGGTTGAATTTATTTTAACAGCCAATGGAAGAAATACTGATAAAAAGCATTTTATAAGATAAAAAGCATTTTATCAGTATTTCTAAAAAAGATTATTTTGAAGTTTAAATCTTTAAAGATGACTATCAACATTTGATCTTTAATCACTTTATTAAATTTTACAGATTTAACTGCAACACAGATATATTAGTTAGCAAATAATCCCCAAACTGTTTTAAAAAATATTGTAATATTTCTAGTATGGAAGTATGGATTAATCTGACAGTTATTGTCATGACTAATTATTTGTTTAACACAGCAGCTGAAGAACTAAATAAATGTCCATCAAAACAAGAGCCAAGGAAAGAAAATACACACGAAAATATCAAGAGTAGCACTTTGATTTCTTGTTGATGGAAAAATCAGTTAACTGCTCTTATCAATTATACGTTCTTTTACCATTTGACATGTCTTATCACTTGCCAAGTGGCATTTAACTACAAATAAAACTGAAACGGTAT